TGCCTGAAATTTCGTGGTTGAAATTCCACTAATTTTTACTTGAATAGACTGTATCAGTTGCTGGAATTTTTAAATGGAAGTCCATTTTGGTGCGTAAATGGGGATTTCCATTATTGTCAGCGAGAAAATGTCAATGCATTTGCAGCTGTGTGGTTTTTTCAGTTATAGGACTGGAAACACTAATCATTAACAACTTTTTTACTATTGCATGATAGGAAGCATAGGAATCTTGTGCGGGGCTTCTTCAGGAATGCAAACAGCATGCTACGAGCAGATGGGGAAATTCATGTAAACCACAAAACAACAGCTCCATTTTGCCATTGGAATATCGAGAAACTTGCACGGAGAAACTCTTTAGTATTAATTGAACGTGTTGAATTTAAGATTGAAGACTATCCAGGTTACAACAATAAGAGAGGAGATAGCAATAGATGTGATGAACCCTTTCCTTTGGGAGAGTGCGGTACCTTCAAATTTAGATTCTCTCATGCTGCGAAGATGTCTAAAGCAACTAGTCACTTCGGTTTTGCCCGCAAAAGATGTCAGCAACTTCATGACAATCATCAGCCAAGTTTATTCAACCACATGCATCCTCAGCCAACTGTTTTCAACTACAAACATAGGCAGCCAACTTTATTCAAGCACACACATCCTCAGCCAATTTTATTCGAGCACAAATGTTCTCAGCCAACTTCATTCAATCGAATGCATCCTCAGCCAGCCTTGTTCAATCAGGTATATTCTCAAAAAAGTCTCGCCACAAATATGAATGGCTTTCCAGGCCATTTGCAATCAACTTCTACAATTAGCATCGAAAAGGCTGATGACTTTAATGGATACCACAATCATACCTTGGAACTACATGGTAGAACTGTCAATCATGTGGACTGCTCTTATAATGACTGTACAATCTATATGCCAGAAGCACCGGGAGGAACCTTGGAAGGTGATCTCTATGTATCGCGTGAGCTTAAATGTAAGCAACATGAGATCAGCCCTATGGCGAAGGTTGGTTTTGACTCATGGTCAGCAGCCGGAAGATACAACAGTTGTCTGGTTTGAGTTTACTTAATATTGTGGTGGTTTTTATGATTTCAGTTTGAAAAAAATTATTTTTAATTGAGATTAGTATGGTAAAATATATATTTAGTTAAAATTATGATTAAAATTAAATAAAAAATTATATAATGTATTTGATTAAAAAAACTTTTTAAATTGAGGCTATAAAATAATTAAAAATATATATAATAATATTGATGATTTTTAATTTAAATATTATAGATTTAATTAATGTAATTACATTATGAAATAAAAAATATTTTTTATAAAATATTTTTTATTGTTATATTAAATTATCTATAATTCTATTATATACAGAATTCATCCGATAAGGATTATAGTTTTCATGATTTCTTGAGCATACAATAACATTAGGTAAAATATTATCTAAATAAAAATAAGATTACGGTTAAATTTTATAAATGTTATATCATCATATGATTTTCTACTAATGTAATTATATAGTGTCATTGATTATGGTTAAACACTAATGTTTTTTTTAATAAAATACAATATTTAAAAAAAAAATTGATTTTTTTTATTTTACTGAATTAAACCAATCTAATATATTTAAATTTAAGTTAAATCCAGTCCGACCATAAATAATAAAAACACTTTTCATTGTTCATTTTATATGATAGGTTCACTTTGGATAATAGTGGAGATTGTCTCCAAACAAAGAGGAAGGAGAAGAGCAGCGTGGTGATGATGAACGGTGAAAATGATGGAGACCGATCACTCCTGTTTTCTCTATTTTTGTTATCTATTGATGGACGACGATCCTTCTTTTATTTGTTTTTGCTCTTTTTCTTTCTTTTTTTCTGACCGCACCTCTGTCCATAGTTTGCAACATAGCTTGAAGTTGCTTTTTATTATCCTGCTGTTTAAGCACAGATAATAATGAGTCTCACAAACATAAAACTGTGTTTCCTGTATAACCAAATAATATGTTTTTGTGGCTTGCTCTAAACATAGAAGCAGCCACAAAAACAAGCACTTTCTTCTTATGGAAACTCTTGCCACCTTTTGTTTTTGTTTTTGTTTCTTGGAGGTGCATTTGGCATTTGTTTGATGCTAGAGTTGTTTGTTTGTTTCGACCTTTTTTTCTGTATATACTGTTACCAACTCGGCAGCTAATACTTTGTTATTTGCTCGATCTACTGACAGTCACAATCAAATGTAATATTTGCATAAGCGTTTGTTTATTTTAGTGAACGAAAACGAATGGTCCTTTGTATGTTCTATGTTGTGCTGTTCATGAATATAAAGTGTGGGTTGCAAAATTTTATTTTTCACATAAACAACTCAAAATATATCTAAAAGTATGCAAAAAAGAAATAAAAAAAAAAACCAGCTATGAAAATGGTTCTGGGTTGTCTAAAGGAGGAAGATTTGGCAGGCTTACATACGCAGTAAAGATAGATGTCCGGGAAGTGTTTTATACAGCTATTAAAGCAACAGAAACATTCTTATGGCAGCATTTGCTCTGTATCATATGCTGACAGTGATAGTGGCAGCCTGGTAGGACCAGGCGGGGGCAAATTACCATCCTAAGAGGAGATTATAGTTCATTAATCACTTCCCGCAAATAATCAAAGGATCTTGCTATAATCAACAGAGCTTGTTCACAATAGTAGCTAATTTCTGAACTTCCTACCCGAGAGCAAGGAGCAAGATTTCGGATTTTTCTTTCTTTTTATACAATTTTTGTGTTGGACCTGTTGAGCGGAGAGAAGAAGAAGAAGACGAGAACAGAACAGAAGAAAATATAATGAAGATGAAGTAACAAAAATAGCTGGCCCAAGAAACAACAGCAATCCATTTAAAAAAACCCAGTATCAGCAGCCCACCACACATACTTGAGTTCAACAACCGAACAGACCCACGACATGTCTGATTCTCAACAGTCTCGCTCGCAGTCACAGAATCAAGAGAAGAGGAGGGCATAAATTTGCAGCAGTATCTGTCAATGGCAACGACAATCATTTCTTCTGCAATCTGTTATTTCTTACTTGTACGTTCCCACATCCCATGATTTATATACAATGAACTCTAGCCTCCTAGCTATCTCAACTGACCCTCTAACTAGCTAACTTCCATCACATGCACGGTTATGACAGTTACTGAACTAGCACTGCATCTTTAGCTAGTTCTGCACATTTTCTTCTTAATTGTCACGTACTGTTATTTATCTCTTCTTTCTTGATTGCCAAGCCTCCTTGATCTCATAACATTTTCCCAGGTAAAAATAATAATACTAAAAGGGTCGTTGTGCAGGAGACATGAAAGATGGAACGCAGTGCATCCAGCTTCTGGAGCATCTCTTCTTTCTTGATTGCCAAGCCTCCTTACCACCTCCTTGATCTCATAACATTTTCCCAGGTAAAAATAATAATACTAAAAGGGTCGTGCAGGAGACATGAAAGATGGAACGCAGTGCATCCAGCTTCTGGAGCATTTTGGGGTATGGGAATAGGCAATGGTTGTGGCCTTGGTTTGGTCCAGAAGCAATTGGATATATGGCAACAATCATACATTTTCGTCATAAAAGGACACTTTATAACCACTCCTGACTAAATCGTGGAAAAAAAATCCTAACCATTAATATCGAATAAGGCACTTTGAATTCTGAAGATGACTTTTGGCGAGGAAAAGTTGTCGATGATCTGTCAAAAGTATAATCCGGCCTTTATTTGTTTGGCTAGGAAAATTTTAGACATTAACTTCCATCATTAATAATTTTTTCTTAGCTTCTACTGTAATAAATTGTAATCCGGGAGCTTACTTCGTCAATTTTTGTTATATTCACATAATATTTAAATACATCTACTTTATGATAACTATAAACTTATAATTAAGATAATTTACACAGTTTATTTTTTTAAAAAAATAAGTTTTTTTATTTATTAATTTTTTTGTTTTATCCTTTCATGGTTGGTTTATTGAGTAATGGTTGGTTTATTGAGTATTAGGATGTGTAAATTTTTTTTTCTATTCAGTTATCTTATTTTTATTATTAAATTATAAATTTATCATGCTAAAAAAATAAGTTTTTTTATTTATTAATTTTTTTGTTTTATCTTTTCGTGGTTGGTTTATTGAGTACTAGGATGTGTAAAATTTTTTTTCTATTAAGTTATCTTATTTTTATTATTAAATTATAAATTTATTATGCTAACTTAAGTTAACTTGTATTATTTTTTATTTAATTTTATTATTTTATATTCAATTAATTAAAAAATAAACTACATCATTTTTCTCGTCTCATAAAATATAATAAAATAACAAGCTTAACATTGGAATAAAAAAAAGCCATGTCTACATTGGTTTTTTAATCTTTTCACTTTAGCTTTTTTTATGATTGTTAGGTGCAACAATGGTTTTTTAATCTTTTAACAATGATAAATATTAATTAAATTAAAAAATTTGTTTGCGCAAGTGCTATCTTGTGGGAGACACCCACACGTTTTAACAAGGAATGAGGTGCCTCCTGGAAGCATGAAATATTTTTTTACTGGGTCATCGAAAACATTGTCTTGTTTTTTTTTTTTTTTATACGGCATATATCAGTATAGAATTTGTCACCAATCAACCTTTCTTTTTCTCCTCTTATTTTTTTTATCATTCCTCTATAAATTATAAGTTGATCCTTTTTATTATTTGTATTTTAGTTTTAATTTTTATTTTTGATTTTTTCTCTTAGTTTTTTTTGTTAAAAAAGTTATATTTATTTTAAATCTAATCTTTTAAATCCAATTTGTTATATATTTTATTTCTATTTTGGTCCTTTTTAAAAAAAAATTATTAGTTTTTAATTTTATCATTCGATCCAAATTTATAGTGTATTATTTTTTTTATTTTGATTCTTATTTTTTTGATTTTTTTATCCTTTTATCAAAGTTATTTTTCTATTCAATTTAACTTTCAAATAAAAGATTTACAATTGCCTTCTGATTTAATTTTTATTTTGACTTTCACACTGATATTTTCAATTGTTGTTTTAGATCTTTTATTGTAATTATTTTTTTATTTTATCATTTGATTTTTTAGGGATTGAACTTCTTAATTTTTTCATTAATATTGCTTCTAGTCTAATAACTTAAATAACAGATTTGAAAAGTTAACACGAGTTAATATTTATTTTTTAGTTTATTTTATTTGTTGATTTCATTCACATTATTTTTTTTTAAATAGCTTTATGATTTTCTTTAATATTTTTTAATCAAGTTATCTTAATTTTATAATCTATATCATATTTGTAAGTTAACATGGGTTAACTCATCTTTTATTATCCCGGCCTTTATAATATTATCTCAAGTTGAGTCAATATGTTTTGTTATTTTTATTCAATTTGTTACTTTTAAAAGTTTATTTTCTAATTGTTGTGATATCTTCTTTAAAAATATTTATCTGTTTATTTTTATTGTTTATTTTTTATTATTATTTAATTCAATTAAAATTATCTTATTAAACTCAATCAAAAGTATAACATGAGTTAATGGTTTTTTTAAAATTTGAAACGTGCTTACGTCACCCTAGACGATGGTTTTTACGGGGAAAAAATGCAAGCACCGCGGCCACATCTAATAAAAGCCGATGCCAGGTGCCAAACGCAAATCAATCTTGCTGTATAGTCATATGCTGTACATACCCTATATTATTATTATTATTATTATTTACGAAAAGATTGAAGAAAATAAATAAATTTTGAAACTCAAAAGTCAAAAGAAGAAGTCCTTTTGCATTCGGCAACTTAACTCTTCATTGCAACACCAACGCCCACGTCAAAAAAAAAAAAAAAAAAACACCCGATGGAGGCGAAGTAAGCTAGGTAATCTCGGACTCTCTTCATCTGCAACAGTGTTTGATTTTAAGCAATTTCCATGGTTATTGATGGTGCTTTTTTTTTTTTCCCTTGCACTTGACTCTTAATCTAGAAGCAGCCTTCCTTAAAGGTCTCTTTATCGTGCATGATTCTGTGCTTTCTTTCATTTGGGCAATGGTACTCTATAGAATTAATACTAATGATCGTTTTGTGGAAGATTAGGAGGCGTCACACTTCACCGGGCTTTGCCTCTGAATGTTTGCCCTTTGTCTTTTACGCATTACCTGGGATAGAAGGCCTCTCTATTTGTTTGCTCTGTTTGGTCTTTTAATAAAGTGACAGATTTCGTTGATTTTTTTCCTTTGGGTTTGTGGAGAAGGACGGGCTATAAGATTTCGTGGGATTTTATCATTCTTTTAGTGATTTGGTGTATCTACATAATCTCTATTTATCGCATCTTGCCAAGGAAAATTGTTGCGGTAGAAACTAGATTCCCCCCTTTCCAGTTATTTGAGTGTTAATTCTTTATGTATACATATATTTTTTTCTATTCTGGAGGATCACTTATTCTTTTGTGCATTCCAATGTCTATGATATTTCATTTTCTTATATGAGAGAAACGAGCGTAATAATTTTTGCGAAATCCATATTTAGTCCATGACCAACACAAAGCAGGTTGAGGCCATGGGATTTTGTCTTTCTTTCACTTTGAAATGATGCAAAGGTCCCTTTGTTCGCCTTCCGGTATTCTCAAGGCTAGGATTCAAGCATGATTCCCTGCCTCTCCTGAAGGGGCCATCAATTATGGGAAGTTTGCTTTGGGTTCATGTGTGTACAGCAAAAACAATAAGTTTTTTTCCTTTTATTCTAAGTGAATTCCTATCTAGCACATATATCATGTTATAATCCTGTCTAGCATGTATATTGAGGGAGGGTTTGTTTTCATTTTCCCCTTTACTCGATTATTTATCAGTGATCAAGTATCTATATTTGGATCCAATTTGGAAATTTCCTCTTACTTAATATTATCATCATTTGCTATAGTAGGTCTTTGTTATGTCAGAAGATTTAAGGGATAAACTTGGACCAGATCACTTCAGTTACTATGCAAGCGAAGTAGAACGATTGTTGCAAGATGAGGATAACCATTTTTTGACTTCACAAACTGCTGAAATTCTTGGAAATAAACATGAGCATGCCAAATGGGAGGACAGGCTTCAACCCAGTTGTGATTTGGGATCTTCCTTTAGTAATTCTGTTGGACCACGGCTTTCGGATTTCCAAAGAGAAATGTTGAAGTTACGTCTTCAGCAATCTGTGGTGGTTCTAACATCAGAAGTCAATGAGGTACACTCCCTTTCTCTTCTGTAGAATGAAGGAAAGTTCATATGTCATTGTACAAAGTTTGCAATTTGATATATGCAAAATGTGTTGTTGTTTTACTTGTGATATTCCTTCTATGGAAAAATGATTATTTTTTTCTTGGAATATATGATGTATTCTCTTGGAGATAGATAGTGAGATGGGCCATATTCCTTTGGTTTTATCGATTTAATTTATTTGTTGTCAGTTTAGTCAGCAAAGGACAGTGATTCATAATAAAGACAGGTGGGATGCATTTTCAAAGTTTTTTGAAGGATACGTAAATTCTGCTCTTCAGAATTGAAGACACTTTCTTAATTCTGGAGATACAAAAAAGTTAAGGGTACCTAGGTGTAGATTGCAACATTGTGGTTAGGGATGATGAGAGTAAGGAAGGAGGAGAAATTATTTTTGCAAGCACTTTAATGATAATTGACTGGGAAATCTTAGAGATCTCTGTGAGGTGTGCCTTGCAATTTGCTTTGGTAATCCATGTCCTCGTCTAACCAAAGAAGCTGAGAGGAAAAAAAACTCAATGGATATTCAGTGAGATCTGTTTTCATATGGGTCCTTATTCTGTGTTATTAACATTTCCTACTATGAGAGGTTTAGATTCTATTTGTCTTGGAATTAGTAGTTTTTTTTTTCCTGACCTAAAATATATAAACTTTGAACTTAGCGAAGCCAAGACTACGGGACTTGTTCTTTGTTTTGATGAAGCAGGGTTGCCTCATCATGACCATTATTGGTTCCTAAGACGCAAAACAAGGAACATCAGGGAAGATATTGGAAAGAAAGCAGAGTGTTTGGTATGAACATGTGTGTTTAGAGTGCAGTATTAGCTGAAATGAAAAGGTTTAAAGGTAGATGATGTATGGAAACAGAAAAAAGGATTGAATCAGAAATGATTGCATCTCCTGTAATGTGTCTGGTGGAAGTGGCTTCTATTAAATGTAAGTTGAGGAAGGGTTTTCTGAACTTTGGCCATGTCTAGCAAAGGTTGTGCATGCAATGATGAGGATGTATAACTAGACTGAAGCAGTGAGAGAGGTAGATAAATAATGTTGCCAGTTGAAGTCACAAAAAAATTATTTAACATCATAACAGCTCACAAAAAGTTTGGCCTGTTACATAACATAATGAAAATTGCTTAGCTTTATGTTCCCCGCCTGTCATGTTTGATGTGTCCAATCATGTGGCGCCTCATCTCATTTGTTCCTCACTTTCTGCATGCGCATGTTGTTCAGTTAGCTTAATGGCAGTATTATTAGCAAGAAATAATTCTTTAATATGGTTGAAACAGATGCTTGATCCGGTCTTATCCATGTGCCGGTTACAATCACAGCTCACAGCAAGACCTGCATTATCTAAAGCTGATGCAAAGCAAGTTTCCTCCCAGAAAGTTATGGTTTCTTCATATTCCTCATCAACCAACACTCCTCTGGTTGCTAGTCCTTCTAACTCTTCTACAGAGGTTATACATCCCTAAATTCCTTTTGTCATTTATCTACCTTTAATCTGTTGATGTCTTAACATGCCATTTATATTCAGTTTAAAATACTTGTGAATAATAATCATGCGGTCTCACTTCCTGGTTTAATATGTGTGGGTTTGTTATATGGAAACTGTAGATATCATCTTTCAAGGCATTTGCTCCAATGTGTGTTTGATTTTATGAATGCCATGCTGTTTGATTTTCTGTTTGAGTTTGGTTTATGGAAACTCCTTACTGGAGAGCTCCATCCCATTCCAAAAATCAAGAGTAATGCTAGAGATACTTAAACATGACAGCTTGTGATTGGGCTTTTATTAATTACTTCATCCTATAATTGTGATTGTGTCATTGTATGTGATAAGACATACATTTCATAATTTGAAAAAACTTTCCCTATCAAAAAACACCACATCATGAAGTAATACATTTTTTTTCAAAAGTTTTAGTACCCTAGCATTACTCAAATTCAAACTCCATGCCATTCCCAAAATAAAGATATAGATCTATCTGTACAAGATAAATCTTCAGGATGACAATGGATAAAATGGCGATCTCAAGTCAATTTGATGCAAATCTTTCTTCATGTAAATATACAGGAAATCTATTCCAGTAAATACTGTGTTTAAAAGTGTGAAAATTAAATTATCATTTTTTTCAAGATAATGACAACCATTTTGAACTTGTTGGCAAAACACATGTTGTAAGAAATTGTTTGTTCTCATACTAATATTCTCTTTTGAAGAAACTCATTTTCAAGCAATCTCCTCTTCACGAATACATATAAACAGACATGCATCTTGATATTCCTTTGATACTGGCAAGCTTGTATTGTTTGAACTTTTTTTTATGACTTGGAGATTTACTGGAACTAAATATTGCTTGATCTGGTTTAATAGAATTACTGTTTTCTGTTCTTTTCTTAAACTATCCTTTTACCCTTTTGCAGTAAAAGCAAACTGATAAAGAATTAATAAGTAGTTGTATCTTTTTTGCTGGTAATGTGTATATATTATGAGAGAATAAAACAAATAACATGAACTGGCAATATTGAGATTGTGGATATGTTTGCATGTGCCTTCGTGATATTTGTCTTCCCTGGTGCTAAAGCATATATTATATGAAATATCTGAATTATATGTTGATATATTAAGTATTAATGCATGGATGAATGTATGTGTCATCTAGGCTGATGATTTGAAGTTCCTTCTAGAGAATAACAGCTCCCATGTCGAGAAGACACTGAAGAAATATTCTGATGAACTACTTTCAACAGTAAGCTTTTCAAAATTGATGTTGTCTTCTAATTTAGTGTACCATTTCTTCAATATCATATGTTGCTAAGAATTAAGAGTTTGCTGTGTGCTTTGAGAAGCTGTTATATGTGATCAATAGCCGAACTGAGGTTATTTTTTCACATTTTAGTTGGAACACATGGAGCAAAAGCTTGAAGAACTTCTTGATGCATTGGCATCTAACTGCAGGTAATATCATTTCATGGAACAGAAAAAAGTTGGTATGGTAGCTTTCTGTTTTCTCAATATATTGATTTTATAAACCTAATATTATTAACCTTTTCTAACTGTGTTTGGCTGGTTTGAATCTGATGGTTTTAGAAATCATGAATCAAGCTGAAAAACAAAAATGATGGGCCAATATTTTAGTGGATAATGCACAATTCAGTGGTCTATCTGCAAAATGATAAGCATTGTTTGATTAATCAAGGTGTCTAATCCCAAACTGGTGAAATAAAAAATCCATGTTACAGTAGCTCTGATTTCTGAGATAAAAATACGAGCTAAATAAAAAATCCATGTTACAGTAGCTCTCATTCTGATTTCTGAGATAAAAATACGTGTTGTATAAGCAATGTATTTTAAGTTTTAAATTTATTTTTCGTTGCATCACAATGCCAACTACAACTTGCAGGCCAATGACTCATGCTGAGAAGCAGCAACTTCAAAAACTAATTAAGAAGCTACCACCGAAGAAGCTTGACCGGGTAGTTGAGATTGTTCAACGTAGCAAGCCAATAGAAAGCCAAGACCATGATGAAATTTTTGTCAATTTAGAAGAAAAGGTAGTAAAATGCAGCAACATATGCTTTGGAAAATGTATTTAGAATTCTAATCCTTCAAATGTGTTGCAGGATAACGCAACAGTTTGGAGATTGTATTACTATGCTGAAGCAGCGGAGAAGGCTAGACTCCTCTAATAGCAAACATCTATTGCTCGTGCAAACAAATGACGGGGTGGTGCATTTAGTATAATCAGAGCTGTGATCCTGAGTTGCGAGGGCTTGACATTAACTGTCGCTGATTTTTCAGAAACATACTTTCCTTGCTATTTTGTTTCTTCTCATTTGTCTAAACACTATTCAACATCATGAATTCATGTAGCTAGCAAGGGGAGATCATTGAGAATTCAGGCAATTAAATCATTCTTTTTGAAGTGTATGTGAAACTTGAGATCAACCAAAGCATTTTTTTTTAAGTGGGGCTGTAACAAGATATGCTAACAGCCTTGCGCTTATGTTATCAGTTCTTCATTTCATAGACTTGGGAGCAGTTTGGAAATACGTTTGACCTTAGTTATCCATGAGAACTCACGTATGTATACCATGAGTATGACTTAACATGGATGGAAAATGACCATGATTGACTCTCGGTTTAAAGTTTCTCCTTAAAGATTCGGCTGAGTGCTGCTCCCATTGAGTCTATAAAATCACCTTATATTGACTTCATTGCTCATAACCATTGCTTTGCAGGTAAATATAATGGATGGTACATTTATTACATCTAATTCATGGAAAATTAAATTTATTCGGCAGCAAAAGTTGATAGCTGGCAAATTAGCTATGTCGGATTGATGATTGCTTTTTTTTTTTTTTTCTGTTGCTGTTAATTGTTAAACATTCAAATGCAATCCTGCATCATCCGGTCATATTGTTGATTTTCATGGTCCATTGCTCACTTTCGTAATAGAAATATTTTTTTTTTGAGTAATATCATTATTAGTATAACTATATTATATTATTAAGTATAAAGCTAAATGATATGGTATTTTCATTGTATATAAATTTATTATTTATCATCTCATATTTTATTGTGAATTACAATAATGTTATTTTAAAAAAAAAATAATTTAATTCTCAAACTTTTAGTATAATTTAACCATTTTTAATTCAAATTAGACCCCAATTATATGTTTTTTGGGGGGGTTTATAAAGTGTAAAATACAGATAACATGGATAGTATGTATAAATTTATTTGTAAAATATATTTTTGTCCCTAATATTATTTTATTTAAAATTAATAAAAAAAAACACGCCAATTCCAATGTGAATGCGTTATGATTACTTATCACATTAATCTATGCCATGTTGCGCAACTTGAGTTTTAATAATTGCCCAACTTGAAGTAAGAAATAGCCTGGTCAACGAACGATTAATTTAAAAATAAAACCAGAAATCATACTACAGAATGCTCCAGCTCTGTCACATGAACACTTATTAAACATGAATTTATAATAATAATAATAATCAAAGTTGTTAAGATGTCTATATTCATATATTGACAGCCTGATTATTAGCTTAGCAGGGTTTGCTTTTCTTTCATTCGTTCTTTTTATTTTATTTTAAATAGATGGTTGCCGTATTGGATATTGTAATTGTTTTTAAGAGGCCACCTAACTTCATTCCCAACTAGCTCATTTAGTTAAGACTAGATTAATTAGTGCACAAATTGATGCCATTGGGGAATGAAAGCGAGTAATTTCTATAAATTAATAACACAATTAAAGAAAAGTCTTATTGTTCTAATTACCAAGTAAATTAAATTCACGTAATCAACTTTTAATCTGGGCAGGACTTAAGAGAGAGAATGATAAACTTTAGGTTTACTACACATTAAACTGCACTATATTTTGTGGTAGGTTAAATTTTTCTGGAATATAAAAAAATATTTAAATATTACTAATATTTTTTTATAAAAAATTAATTGTGTAGGATAAATGAAATGATATCTTTATATTTTAATAAAAAAAAAAGAGAGAGAAAACAGGAAGAAAATAAAAATTTATCAGACGCAACTATTACTCAGTTGTGTACACAAATAGCATAAATAAAAAAATCACAACGAAATGCTTCTAACATTTCTCTTGAAGTCGGTGTTTGGACACGGGACGGTATTAAATTTTTTGGGCTTAATTTTTTTTAAGATTTTTATTTTTAAAAGTAATATAATACATTGTGTATTTAAAAAATAAAAAAATTAAATTATCCATGATTAATCTGATTAATACCTATATAAGAAAAACACCGAATTATCCCATTAACAACTTCATTGTTTTATATTTGAAGGGTAAAATAATGATTATACTAATAATATGTGTCTGGAACATGCCAGCTCTCCATGCCAATATTTAAAAAAAAAACAAATTCACTTACTATTGTTAAAATACTTGGAAATTAAATTTTATTTTAAAAAAAAAATCATATGTGCGCATCAAACCCACCTACTACGGAATCTAATCCTGCGACATAAAGACAAATAACCGACTACTTAAAATATTGTTTCAAATTTTGAACTTGTCTCCCACTACATACAATGGTGAGATTCAATTATCTTGGACTTCCTGTTTTTAATTTAAATCGAAATCAAGGAGTTACCTGTAGTTTTCTCTTAAGAGGAAAAATAAAGGGCAAGCCATGCGTTAACTAATATCAAAACTATAACCTATATCTCAATTCAGTCCCTAAAGTTTAAAGATTCTTCTCAAGCAAAAATTATCTTAATTGGATCCCCTTAGTCAACCCTATTCTAAATATTTGCTTAAATACAAGTCCATGTAAAGCGACCATGTCAGCAAAGGATTTTTATTTCTCAAATGTGTAAATAGAGAGAGGTTTTTATTGATTTTTGTGGTGTGGTTATTAAATTTATATCGATCTGATAAATTAATTTGAGATCCGATTAATCCGCTTATTATATCAGTCCAAATAAAATAAAAAATTAAATTGTCAAACCCAATCAATCATAATGCCAGTAATTTAGAAAAACCTAGTTGAAATTTATATATATATATATATATATATATATTTGATTATTATATATATATATATATATATATTTGATTATTAATTCTTTTCAAAATATATATATATATATATATTTTTTTTTATTACTAATTCTTTTCAAAGTTAATTATATAAATAATTGAAGAATTTTTATTTTTTTAATATAAAATTTAAAATTTTTTAGTATATATATTATATATTTATAAAAAAATATTTTTTTAACCTAAGATTTGAAACCGTTTAATATAAAAAAGTTATATTTTTTTAGTATAAAATAAAAAAAAATTAATTTAAATATTTTAACTTAAAAAATAATATAAATTGTTAAACTTTATTATTATAATATATATTCACATAAATTATTTTTTAATTTTTTATATAAAATATTAAATTTCTAAATTAACCCAAAATAACTTTTATAATCTAAAATCTAGTTTTTTCACATGGTCAACCTGAATTGGTTTTTGATAACTATGTGCAGGAAATAAAACAAAAACCATGCTGGCAGTGTCCATTGCAGAGAACTCTGTTGAGAAACAAGGGCGTCTTTCAAGTTCAGCTCAAACCAAAGCATACCCAGGTTTTTAAATTGTCACCTTTCCTTTCTCATACTTCCTGGTAGTTCTGTGCCTGTCCCATAAACATAAACATAGCACATAAGCATCTGTCTTGTCTTTTTACTTTTCCCTACTTACTGAAACAATTTTTTATTTTTTGCCATTTTTGCTAAGATTTCTTAGACTTGCTGGGTCCTTTTGATGTAGAAATGAATGAAACATGAGGTTAATGATGATGTTCATGGAGAGTTGAAGGACAGAGGAAAAGGTTTACATCTTTTTTTCTTTTTTCTTTTTTCTTTGCTGAGGAGAAGAGTAAAAATTCTTGATCTTGTTGAGGGATCGAGGTTAAGTTTTAGGGAAGGAAGAAAAGATGGGGGGAGGGGATGTCTCTTTTAGGATGTGGCCCTGTCAGAATAGGAAAGAATGAGTTCATGATGAGTTAGATCGATTATACAGTTGATGCAGGAACAGTTCTTTTCTTTTCATGCCATTTTAGATCATCGAGAAAAGGATTTAACCTATCAATAGAGATTATGGATGAGAA